CACACACCACCACCACCACCACCACCACTACACCACACACACACACCACACCACACCACACACACACACACACACCACACACACACACACACGCACACATACACACTCAAAAACATGATATCAATACACTTCTCCAGGGGGCTGTGGAGAAGCTCCAAGAGGTCGGGGTTGGATTCAGCTGACGTTAGACGGCTACGAGTTGGATGACAAGGCCACCTACGCATGCGCGGAAGGCTATCATCTTGTGTCACCGGGTCACACGGCTGTCTGTGACAGTCACCGAGACTGGACAGGGCCTGAGCTAGTGTGTTCAGGTAGGAATCTTGTACCTGGCTTCTATTTCTTTAAGATTAATCTGTTACTTTATTTATGTATTTACTCTTTTAAAAAATGTTTTATTTCTTTATCCCCGATTTTCACGCCGTGTCCATTTTACATATACTATTATAGTTATGTGGGTTCGATCAAAAAGTCCAAATTTCTCAAAATCAAATATCAATGGCCTGCGCAACATGCCATAGCCGTCCATTTGAAATATAAAACGATTTTTGCTCCCTTTTGACAGTATAAACAAACTCATTCCACTTTGTGACACTAAACGTAATATTTAGGGGACTCTTGTGGCCTAGAGGCTAAGGTGTTCGCCTCTCATTCAAAGGTCCCGGGTTTGAACCCGGTAGCGACGGAAAAATTGTCTTTTCTAAAATGGTCTCCTTTCACCTCCTTTCCTGCTCTCTAGCAATATTCTGTCGTCTGCCTTCGTTTCCACTTTCTGCCCCCTCCTCTGGGCTCTTGATTCTTTCTGCAGCCTTTCTACTACTACTCCTTGGCGCCTTCGTACTGCTGTCGTTCAACCACACCCCTAATCTTCTGGTAGGAATGACCTATATCTAGCCTTCTCGGACAAGGGTGAAAAATCTCGGAGAACCCGTGTGCAACTGTTGCACGTTAAAGATCCCTTGATGGTCTAAAATCGATCAGAGTAGGCTTTGGCCGCCACACGGGCAAAATTCAAAATTTTCTACTAACCGAAAATGTTTAATGTGTCCCGTGCGCTCATATGACCTTATGCAGTTCGAGGGCCGTAAAACACTTGCCAAACCCCCCTCCCCCCATAATATTTGTTTTTCTTAAAACGCATAAAAAAATTAATTAATTAAAAACAATGTTACCTTTTTTACCCGTATCAATTCATCCAAATGTGACATGGGGACCAGTGGCGGCTCGTGGTTTATAGAACTGACCGGCGGTCATTCACGTCGACTATTTTTCCATCCCCCACCCCCTTCCTTCACAACACACACAC